AAATTAAAATTCATAAGCATTATCCTTACATGTTCTAATACAAAGGAGCTAACAGTATCATTGTGAGTATTTTCTTGTTTTTTTTTATGCCTCATTACTGTCTCACGCCTAATGCTTATACCTGCTCCTGCAAATGTTTCAATAGCTGAGGATGATGTACCTGCACCATCTAACATATATCCAATTTCAGCTTTAATTCCATTGATGAATTTATTATTCAGACCTGCCAGAAAATAACAAAATAAAACTAATCTTTTTTTATTTTTTTCATTAGTCATGTTATTTTTATCTTTTGGATTTGTTCCAGCATAAAGTTGATTAAAAAAACCTTTTAATGCTGGTTCAGCTTCTTCTAACATTTTATTAAATTCATCAGGTTCTAAAATGGGTTTTTCGTTATTCACCCTCTGTCTTATATACAATGCACCTGCCATTAATTTGATTTTTTTATTAAGAGGTGCTGTTTCTAAAATAAAGCAAATAAGCTAGTTAAATATAATTATTGACAATAAAATAACAGCAATTTATTTGGTAATTTATTAATTTATTAAAAAAAAATAAGATATATATTTTCATTTTGTTCAATAATAAATAACATTATTATTTTTAGTATATTGGTGTGTAAACAATTAGAAGAATAATTAATTACTTACCTAACTTTGTTTTCTCAAGTTCTGCACACACTTCATGATATGCTGACTCTAATTGTCGAAATTCTTCCTCAGAATAAAAAATATCATCACGTAAAGCATATTTATTTTGAAATTTCTGAATTTTTTTGTTTGATTTTTTTTGAGCTGGTGATTGATAATTAGGTGAATCTGAGTATTCTGGATCATTGTCAGTCTTATACAAACAGTGATGACACATCATTGCTGTCTCTAATAATTTAAAATAATTAATTAATCGTCCAGGTGCCTTCCAGAATAAAATTTTTTCTTTTTTTTGTGCTGTAGAAAGATAAATATCATGCTTAGGATGTTAATTATTTTGTTTTTAGCATTAACAATTAATTTGTTATAATGCCTTCTACATAATGCTTTTCCAACCAAATTTAAATGTTTGTTAATATCTGGAATAGTAACTTTATCAGATACTATGGAAGCATTATTAATTTTATAATCACAGATAATGTCACCTTGGCCTTCTAAATCACAATATTGTACTTTTCTCCTCTTATCTTTATGTTCATCACTGGAGGGTGCTTCTTGAGATGAGTTTTGTATGACATCCATTTTCTGTAAGGCGAGTTGCTTAAAATGTAGCTATATATTAAATTATATATTAAATTAAGTATATAAAATTTTCTATTGCAAAAAAGTCTACTATAACTAACTTCCGAATTACTTCACCTTTTGCCGAATTATTTTGGCAGTCTATAAAATAGAAGGTGAGAAATCAGAATATATTGTTGTTATTGCCACAAAATTGATTTTGGTGATGCAAAGTCAAGTTAAAGTCAGATGACGGTCAGTTTGTATATGAAACATATGTGGTGTAATTAATGCCGATCATTTCTTAAAATTGAATACCCGCTATGTTCTGCATGGCATATCAACAAAATGAAAATGTCATTTTGTAGAAAAAGGTCTTAGCTTCAAAATGTCATCTTGTTTTTTTGGTCACACATTTCCATTTTTGGAGGAATTAAAGGATTTGCAAGACTAATAAAAGCTGTAGGGACTAGGTGTCCTGCACTATACAGTCAGGGAATATACCAAATATAGAAATCAATTCTAGATTTTTTGCCGATCATCTCATATATGATGCAGATATTTAGAGGTAAATAATCTTGATTCAGATATTCTCAGCATATAGTGGAAAATCATCAGATATGTGTAATAATTAATTAGCTTATTTTTTCTAAAGTTTGTATGAATTTATTAGATTTATGAAAGTTTTACTAATCCTCCATAGGGTGTCTAGGTGAAGATACAGTAGAACTTTTTCAGCATGCCTTTGTAATCTTTTGAGTAATAATTCAAGCCCAAAAGTTAAGCCATAGTCAACCAGAATGATACTTCATAACATCGCCATTTAACAAGAATCAGAAAATTGTAAAAATTTATTATTTCAAAATATTGTTACAAGATAAAAATAAAATAAGGATAAAATAAAAAAGATAAATAAAAAGGTAATGAATAAATTTATAGTGAGGATTAAATTAGTCATTCATCAATCCTTTCTTCTACTATTGTTACTAGAATCTAATTTCATTAATTAATTAATTAATATTGTTAGTAATAAATTAATTTTCAATTAATTAATAATGAAATTTATCCACCACCTTTTTTAAAGTCAACATTTAGAGAATCAAGATTATTTAACAAATTATCATTACTTGTATAAATTTTTAGATTTAGCAATCTCACCATCTAAAATTCTACTTGTGTGATATGCATCTGGGTGTGATTTGTGTGCTGGTTGTGAACCACTACTACCACTACTAGTAGTATTATTATCATTTTTAAAAATTTCATTATGTTTGTTTCTAACAAAAATAGCAAGCTCTTCACTAGTTGGTCTTTTTGATGGATACACATCCCAGCATCTCTTCATCATTTGTGCATAATCATCAGGTATTTCAGGTAATATTGGTGGTCGTAAACCTTTTTCACATATATCAAAAATCAAATGATAATCATGAGCTTTATCATCAAATGACGGATGACCTGCAAATATTTCCCACATTAACATCCCAACACTATAGATATCTGTTTCTTTTGTTTTCTTTTTGCCTCTAAGTAGCTCAGGTGCAATATATGGTACAATTCCATAGACTTTATTTGATGACTTTTCACCAACTGGTCCACATAATCCCAAATCTGTAATACAACAATAGCCTCCTTCCACAAGTATATTACCACTATGTAAATCACAATGGATTAAATCTTTTTTATGTATTTCATCCAATGCAGCACATAAATAATAAAAGATTGTAATTCTATCTTTTAATGTTAAATTTAAATGATTTTTTTGCAAATAACTTCTTAAATTTCCTTCTGGGGCATAATTTAAAACAATTGCATAATTTCCATTATCTAGGAATTTAGTTAGACCATAGCAACTAATAATCAGGGGTGATTTAATTTTACAATAATTCAATGTCTGAAAATAAATAAAATCAATTAGTATTATATAATATAGTTTTGTTTATTCTTATTTTAAATGACAACTACCAACCTCATCAAGAAAACCTTTTCCTGAATTACTTGAATCATTTAAACTTTTTAATACTACTTTTTGTGTTCCTAAATAACTAAATTCCTTTTTACTATCATTGTAATCAGTAATTCTTCCTCTTATCCATTCTGCAATAAAAATCGAACTAAATTCACCTTCAGTTAACTTTGTTACTTTTTTAAATTGCTCAAAAGGTATCCATTCTAAAATTTGGTTTGGCAGAGATGATATCATTTGACATTGTTGAATAAAATTATCAATTATGTTATTTCCAGATGACCAAGTGGTGAAAAGATTCTGTAATTGTAAACTAATGCAACCTTCACAGAATCTATCAGAATATTTTGTCAACTTACATTTGTTGCATTCTTTTGATTTTCCCAATTTATTTCTTGCATTATTTAATTCAAAATCATAAATAATCCTTTCATTACAATATTCTTTTTCATTTTCAGAAAGTTCCTTGTTTTCTTTGACTAATGAAAAAAAATAATCTTTTCTACTTTCTTTATCAGAATTAGCCACCGCATTATTACGCATTTCACTATTAATTTTAAACACAAATTTCTTTCTTTCTGGTGATAACAATGATAATAGTTTAACATACGACATTATATAAAAATATAAAATTCGACTTGGTGTTTTAATGAATGTGGAGAATTTTTGAGAATAACTGTTACATTATTTATTTCTTTTAACATACATAAAAGAAAGAAAGGTTGCCTTTCTAGTCGTAGATTTTTATATTAGATATTTTGTGTAATATTTTTTTGAAATGTTTTGGTTGTACGGGAAATAATCTGGTTAAGACTTGAAACGGTAAATTCAATGAACGAATCCCGAACCTTCTAAACATTTTGTTGTTCAACTTTAGTAAACTGGATTGTTGGAGAAGGATGAGATCAAAATCCAAAGGTAATGTGTTGTTTTTTCTTTTCCAAAAATGATAAATGGTTGTGTTTATTTTTACATCGCTGTGTCATGCGAATTCCCATTGCTATCTATTTGGAAATTTATCTATTTTTGTTCAAAACGTCAGGGTTGAGCGAAGCAGATACTTGACTGAAGAAAATCACGTTTCGCATTGGATGATTTTTGCATGGTGTCTACTGTTAGGTTTTCGTCTTACTCTAATGTTTCAAATGGCCAAAAACCTATGGCCTTGCCTTGGAGTCTTTACTCCAGATCCCAGATCGTCAAAGACTTGTCACAAAACGTGATAGTGTTAGTATATTTTCGGGTCACGAGGGGATTCAAAAACACTTTTCATATTTTATTTTGTTGTTGTTATTATTAATATGTACAAATTTTTTTGATTTTGACCATTTGAGAGATAGTGGATGATCTGGATAGGAAAAACTTTATTTTAATTTCCAATTGATTAATCTTTGCATAGTGATTTTTTTTTTAACAATCGAAATTTGTAAACAACTTTTGACGATGCTTATTCTTCTATAACGATAGACTTGGAAAAAAAAAATCTAATCGATCCGATTGACATTTAATCTGGGATAAATAAACACGAGAAAAAGATCAGGGCAAAGGATCTTTTTTTTTAATTAAGAAAAACTTATAAATAATAACAGTTTAATAAAAAGATTATTCAAAAGCAGTGGTGGTGGTGGTGGTGGTGGTGGTTCGCAACAAACGCACAAATCACATCCGGATGCATATAATACAAGTAGAATATTAGATGAAGAGATTGCTAAATCTAAAAGTTTAAAAAGTTATACAAGTAATGATAGTTCGTTAAATAATCTTGATTTTAAATCTTTTTCCTAAATGTTGATTTTAACAAAGGTGAATTATTAGTTAATTAGAAATTATTATCCATTAATTATTACTAACAATGATAGTCAAAGAAAGAATTGATGAATGATTAATTTAATCTCCACTATAAATTTATTCATTATCTTTTTATTTATCTTTTTATATTATCCTTTTTTTATTTCTTATATTGTAACCTTACTTTGAAATAATATACTTTTTACAATTTTCTGATTCTTGTTAAATGGCCAGTTAATTGCAAATAACTTGATGTTGTCAATTAATTAGTTTACGAATCTACTTTGGTTCTCTCTTTCTTGCACCTAGATAAAATTTGTAAACACACTTAATGATACAAAGATGGATCTTTACAATGCTCGAGGACTTCTATAAAGTTCCTTTTATTCACTTGTGACCGACTTATTCATTTACCCTTGTTACATTTATTGGTCTCGCTTTGGTTTATTTATTTGCAAATCAACTCAAGCAGCTTGTTTAATAGTCTTACGTTTACGATTACAATAACACCACCAGCATTTCCGATTAACATTTGGACAATACTTCATTGATACTCACTAGTTAACCAATGTTAGTCTTAACCTTGTTTGCTTGCTCGTTAAAGCAAATTACGTTACTAATTGTTGTTAACACTCACTAGTTAACCAACGTTAGTCCTAACATTAGATTGCTTGTTTGCTTGCTCACCAAAGCAAATAAATGTGGTTTTTTACCAAACAAAGAAAATAAAGACAATGTTTTTATTTTTATTTTAGAATGTCAATTATCTATTATTTGCTCTGCGAGGACCCAAGGTTATGCTTTTTCAAACGAAGACCCTTAATGAAATTTTCATTGATTACTACAATGGGGACAAATATAAAGGTGGGTTTATTATTATTGCAAAAATACTTAATTAACCAATATTGATATTATAAAGACTTCCGTAATTAAAATTAGTTGACCCTGGAACATAAAGTACCGATGATTTTATCTACCCCGGTCATGTATCACGTTATAAGAAATGTAGTAAATGCTGAATTTGTATTTAGCAAAAGAAAAACCCGACTCCTTGGGGACAACTGAATGAAACAAAGGAGAGATTGAGATACACAAGGAAAATATAACTAAAAAGACTTTGGAATATATATTTATAATCGTGAGCTTTGTATTTATTAGCCTTTAAAGAAATTTTACTTGCGTCGTTTTTGCAGCGAATTTGTACAATATTAGTCAAAATTTCAGATTTTAAGGGTACATAAAGTATACGAAATACCTTTACCATACTTACCTCAGGGTTGTTCTTACCACATCTACCTCAGTTATACCAAACCCAATCCGTTCTTTGGTATAAATGTAACCATCTCATCCTAAAAAGATGGTTAGTCGACCGAGGTATTCCAAGGAACAAGAAACATGTAGGGAGCAGCGCTAATTCTTGTTTGAATAAACTATATTTATATAAAGAATTCCAATAAAAATGTTTAACTTTTACTGTTGGACCATTCGAAGTCTTTCTTTACTAATATAGATAAAATTCTACCCAATCATGATCTTTGGGACAATGATTTGTGCAACTTTGAAACTTTTTTTTGAAAAAACGATTCAATTAAAAAATAAATGATAAAAAATACACAAGAAGGTCAAAATTCACGCAAGGAAAAGGTCGAGGCTAACCGACAGCCAAAAGATTCCAGCAATATTGACGGTAACGACGACGTTAATGATAATGACGATGATAACAATAGCAACAGCGAAAATAATAGTGAATATAATAGTGAATTAATGAATTATAATAACCTTAGTGTCAGTGATATTAGTATTATAGATGGTGGGATCGATAGCACTTTTGCCAGTGATACTTTTGAAAGTTCACAAAGTGGGAGTGAAGAATGGGAAAACAGTGAATTGTGGGGAAGTATAAAAGAGGAAGAGGAAGAAGAGGAAGAAGAGAAGGAAGGGGAGGAAGGGGAGGAAGAGGGGAGAAAAGATTATAATGGTTCACCGGTAGATAATGGTAATAATAATTTAGCAAACTTCAACAAAAATCAGATTGAAAGAGATTCACAATTAACCAAAGCTCCTTCGAATGAAATATCTTCAGTAAAATTTAGTGTTTTAAAGTTCATTTTTAAATTATTAGTAAGAATAACGAAATCAAACAAAATGATTTTTGTAATCAACATATTATGGTATTCAATGTTGTTGAGTAAAGTATATTATAAATCAAATGATTTTATTAAAAATTATTCTAATAAAAATTATTTCCCCAATAGTAGATTTTATTTTAAATTGATTTATAATAATGCTGATTTTAATAGATTAGAAAATCTTTCAGATAATTTAATTAAAAAATTGTCAAGTTCAAACTTTTCATTTTTATTTTTAAGTATGATTGGATTACTTTATAAAGATCTATCAATACAAAAAATTATTTTATTATCATTAATTATTTCAAATATTAATTTAGCTTCATTTCACATTATTTATTATAAAGCTGGAAGATGGAATAATAAATATTTTTATGAGTTTGGTTTACCAGGTATTTTAATCTCAACTTTTAATACTATAGCATATATAAACACTGTTTCTAAGTCAAAGTCTTTATTTTAAATGATGATGATAATGATAATAAAAAATTCAATTAATATAAATATCAAGGAATTGTTTTTCTTTTCTTTCTTTCATAATTCATTTCCTAAAAAAAAATTATTGATAATAATGCCTCTTGACTTCGATCAAGTCAACAAACCGGAAGAAGTTCTTCAGTTTCAACTTAACCTGCAATAATTTTATCAAAGAATCAATCAAAACACGTTTGCATTCATTAATCCGAAAATATTGAAAAAATCAAGGATAATGACAAACAGTTATCAACAAATCTTGAAAATCTCAAATTCAAAACATATCGCATTTGCTCGTAATATTTATCGGGCAAAATTCGTTATACAGAATCGTTCTTTCAAATGACAATCTGCATCCACATCTTATACCATTAATTTCATTGATCTTGCAATTATAGAAACTGATGAACCTCATACAAATGAACCTGTTGTCAACAATCAAATTCCCTTATTGTCATCAATGAAAATAAAGATGAAACAAGAAATCTCCTCGCGTTGAAGCTAAAAGGCATAAACTGATCATCAAGATATATTCTGCCACGTCTACAATTGGATCTTCTTCTGTTACCATTGACAACGATCAAATACTACTACAGACAACAATAAAAACAATAATACTAAATCTTCATCCTCTACTGGAAATAATAATCAACCAAACTAAAGGTTTCTTTGAGGCCGTAACCAAACAAATCACAAATCCCAAAGAAAAACCTACCAATGCTAATATTAATGAATCAATCAATGACACTAGCAACATTTATGATAACAACGGAACTTATAACACTAATGCAATCTTTAATTTGGAATTTTATTTATCATTTCGAGTGGAAATTTTTGATTGTATCACAAAATCATTTTTTTTTGGTTAATCGATTTTAAATAATCAAGATTTCAAAAAAAAAAAAAGATTTTTAAAAAAATACCAACATTGTAAATATATACAGAACATGGAAAATATGTCTAATGGTAATAACGAAAATATCGTAGAGAATGTGATGGAGAGTACAATTGTTGAAACTGAGGAGCATCCATTCACATTGAAGATAAAAATACCAAATCTTGTTGACAAGTCTCAAGTTTTTGTAAGCCCGTGCAAAGCATTTGATTTTCAATTAATCAACAATCTATTAATATTATTTCTATTAAAACTTATAATTATAAATCAATTATTTTAATTCTTATTAATTGATTGATCGATTAATTAATAAATGATTTAGGCAACTGCAAGTGAACTTGTGCAGGAAGTTAGACAATGGTTAATTGATTCACCAGAAACTTCTAATTATACATGCTTTTCTCTATATTGGGACGGTAAAAAACTTGACGATTACAAAGAGCTTCAAGATGAAGGGATTACTCAAGATGCTGATCTGGAATTAGTGGAAGGTTTACTTTATTTTATTTTATCTTGCATTTTGATCTGAAATGATAATCTATGAAGCTAATTAAAAAAAATTAAATTTATTTTAACAGAGCCTTATACAGAACGAGAAGCTCGCATTCACATTATGCATGTTAGAGAATTACTTTCGGGACCATTCAAACAATCTTCTTCTTATGTTGGAATTGATCCTGGCTTATCATTTTTCACTGCTGTCACTGGATCCAATGGTAAACGAACTAAATATTTGTATTTGTATTTGTATATATTTGTATTTATATATATATTAATCAATAGTTTAAATAAATCATCAGATAATCAACAAATTATTCAGCAGCCTCAACAAAACGGGAAAGCTAAAGAAGACGAATCAAATGTTCTTAAACCATTAGAAACTCCATTTTCTGATTACGATTTTTCTGCTCCTTCTTTATCAAAATATGTACCTGAAAAATTTTCAAGATGTAGTATTAAATGTTTAGAATCTATTCATCTTTCTGGTTGGAATCCTGTGCCATTTGAACGTCGTAAAAAAGGTATATTGTAGTCTCATTTTTAGATTTTATTTATTTAATATTTATTACAAGATCATTATTATCTTTAAATAAATATATATATATATATATATATTGTTTTTTTAGGTGATCTTTTGTTTCTTTCTGTTACAATAATCGAGGGAGATAATTTACATATCACTGCATCGATAAATGGTTTTTATATCAATAAATCTACAATGAAAAGTTTTGATCCAAATCCTAAATCTGAGCTTCAAGTATATCATGCACATTCACTTGTCAACCTACTACAAGAGGTTTCACCTACGTTTCGTAAAAATTTCAAAGAATTACAAGAGTTTAACGTTATGCATCACCCTTTCGAAACTATTCCTATTAATTCTTGCTTTCCTGCTTATCCATGGGCTGTTAAACAACCAAAGCATACGTTTGATATGGGTCACATTTCTGAAGTATACTTGAATGTTGGTAATGATGTGGTTGATTCGCTTAGAGATTGGAATGATGAATTTCAATCACAGCGCGAATATCCACGCGTCGAATTAAGAGATCGTGTACTGCGCGAAAGGCTTGTTAATAAGATTCAATCAGATTTCACAGAAAGTGCTGTCAGGGGTGCAATTGCCGTGGTAAATGGAAACGTCATTCCATTCAATCCACGTGATCCTTCAGAAGAGCACATGTATGTTTATAACAATATTTTCTTTAGTAAAGCATACGATACACGTGGAACTTTTGCAAAGCTTGGTGGTGATGATGCAGCCCATGTTGCAACAGGGAAAGATTTAGAAGGAATAAAAACAATTAATATAGCTGATATAGAAGGATTATATACTTTGGGATGTGTTGTGGTTGATTATAAAGGCATCAGAGTTGTGGCCCAAACCATAGTTCCAGGTTCATATTATTCATTACACATTATTTTTGTAATTAAAAATTATTACTAATTGTGTGTATGTGTGTGTATGTGTGTATAATAGGAATTTTTAGACGTCAAGATGATTCTTCCGTTGTTTATGGATATTTTGATAATGGAAGAGATAAACCTAAACTTTGTGCTGATCCTGAGTTCCATGAGATTGTTGGTAAAGCAGCAAAAGTTTTACATCTTGCTGAACACAGGTTAGTTAATTTGTATAATTATCTCATAAAAATTTTCCTTGATGTCAATCTACTTTATACGATTTTAATTTATAAAGTTTATATGTATTTGCTTTGTTTGAAGTGTTTCCGATTCAAAAGGAAATTCCGTAAAACTTCATACTTCTTTAGAAACTAAGGTTTTTTCATAACGTTTATAGATATTTAAACATTTAATATGCGTGTATATATATATATATATTGGTTAAAATGTAATTAAATCATATCATCAACTTTTTTGAAAATTATATGTATATATATATATATATATGGTAGGGATTAATGGGTGATGATGGTAGACGATATTTATTTGATTTGTATCGTCTTAATCCTGTTGATATTGAATTTTTAGAGAAAGAATGTGAACCTAAAGAAGAAAGTGACCTTCCACTTTATTCTCACAAATTAACTTTATTAAGACCAGAATTGATTGAATCTTTTTGGGATTATAAATTTAGATTGTGGCTTCAGGAAAAGGCTAATCGAAAACAGAATGTATATTAATTTTTTAAAAAGTTAATGCTATTTTTTTTTTTAAATCAAGTTATTAAACAATAGTATCGTTATCATTATTGTTGTTGATAGGAGGAAACCAAAGATTCTAAACCTGAAGATTCTAAACCTGAAGATTCTAAACCTGAAGATTCTAAACCTGAAAATTCTAAACCTGAAAATTCTAAACCTGAAGATTCTAAACCTGAAGATTCTAAGCCTGAAGATTCTAAACCTGAAGATTCTAAACCTCAAGAAGTAACTCCCGATGAAGAATTTAATTTTACATTAAATCCAGATTCTTTTACTGATTATAAAATACCAGATGGTGATAATTATAAGACAAAGAAAGAAACTGACGAAGAAAATGTCAGGAATGCTTCAAAATATCTTAGAGATAGTGTTATTCAATTGATGGTAATTTAAAATCATATTTTCAAATCTATTGTTCTAAAAAAAAACCTTCTTTAATGAAAAAGATAATCGATTGTATAGATTATTGAATTCACTTCATTAGCTGTTTCACCAGCAGATGGAGCATCATTAACAGCAGCCATGCATCGTCGTGGTATTAATATGCGATATTTAGGCACGATTGCAAAAATTCTTTATGAATCTACAGATCGAAAGTTAGATCATATAAGGGTATATTATAAATTTACATATATACACATGTGAAATAATTATAATATAGCATTATTTTAATTTTTATTCACATACAACACACACACACACACACACACACATATCTTTTTATAGCATTTGGTTATTCATGAGATGATTATCAGAGCATCAAAACGTATACTTCGTGAACTTCTTCGAGAACTACCAATCACATACACATCATATTGTGTTGCGCATTTTTTTAATTGTCTGCTAGGGACCGACTATAATGCTAATCCACAACCATTAGTTCCTGATGTATTATTTAGTTGTGGTGGTAGTGGTGAGAATGATGATGACGCAAACAACAGTAAAAAAAAAAAGAATAAAAATATCAAGAATAAAGCCGATAATACTCAATCATATGCATACTTAAATCTCACACCCTCTTCACTCGTTCAACAAATTCATAGTACGGTGTTAGTACGTTTTCGATATAAACTTCCTGAAGATTTTGTTTCTACACACATTCGCAAACTTCCATTACTGAGAGAAATATGTTTACGAGTAGGAGTTCAAATAGCAGCTCAAGGTTATCATTTTGTAAAAAAGAAATCAAAAAAAAGAGCAACCACATTCTTACCAGATGATATCTTCAATATAATACCTGTTGTCAAACAAGCAACTCCTAAAGTAAACAGTCCACTTATTACTTATTACTTTATTATTATTGCCTTGATTTGATCCGGCTGGAATTTTTTATTTATTATTTTTCATTTTTTGTAGTGTATTTTTGCCGAGGAGACTTTTGAAGCTGGAAAATTAAGTATTGCTCAAGGTATTTTATTTTGATTTATAATTATTAAGATTTTGATTTTATTTGATACGTAGAATGTTAATTATCATAAAAATTATATGTTAGGTCATCGAGATTTAGGCGTGGATCTAATGTTACAATCACTTGCATTACATGAACAAAGTTATGGTTTTCTTCATCCAGCAACGGCAAAGTGTTACGTTGCATTAGCGATGTATTTTTATCATCATGAAGATTTAGAAATTGCGATAGATTTTCAAAAGAAGGCCGTTGTTGTATTGGAGCGAACTTGTGGTACTGACAGTGTAGAAGCAGTGCATGCTTATGTAAGTTATGCAGATATAATAATAGTTTTTGAATGGATGGGTTCCTAAAAGAAAGTGCATTATTCAAATAAGGTTATTTCAATAGTTACATTTAGGTCTTTTTGAAAATGCTATTGGTCATACCGAAATCGGTCTTCGTTACATGAAGCATGCAATGTTTTATTGGGAAATTATATATGGACCTTCACACCCGGATGGCGCAACCGCTGATGTAAGAAAAAAACAATTTTTTGTAGAATATATATAAAAAATATATACGTATCATTTAAATATATATTTTGATATTTTGCAATTTGTGTACATAGCATAACGTCGGAATTATGTTACAAAATTTAAAAGATTTTGGTGGTAGTATAAGGTTTTTCGAAAGAGCCAAAGAAACAAATGAAACTATCTTTGGAAAAAATAATGTTTTAACTGGTGAATCGTAAGTCGATAAAAAGAAAATGATTTTTAAAAACTCCATCAAATCATTTATTTAATCATTTTATTCTATTTGTGATGTAGATACCATCTCCTAGCGAAAGCTTTAGCACTTTCTGAAGATTATAAAGCAGCTTTGACTGCAGAAAAATCAGCATATAATATTTTTCACACTGTGGTAGATATTTATTATGTTTTTTTTTGTTTTTGTTTCTATGTAAACATTTAATAATAATTTTTAATTTATTAGTTTGGACCTGATCATCCTCGAACTAAGGAAACTGAACAACTGCTTAAAGATTTAACGTCAAATGCTGTTCATAATGTTTGTGCTACATTAAATTTACATTATTTCTCCCATTTTTCTTTCCTAATCATAAAATCAACTAAAAATCTGTACATGTATGTATAGGCTAAAATGGCATTATTACAGAAACAAGATAAGCGAAAAGGTATAGCACCAAAACCAACGATTTCAGCATCTTCTTCTTCTTCTTCATCTTCAACGATAAGTACACCAACCACTTCAACAGCCACTTCTGCAATGCAAATAAGAACGGCAGGAAGTCATCATTCAAACATCTCAACCAGTACTTTAAAAAAGAAAAAGTTTGCAAAAAGTAATAAATAACAAAAATCATATAAAGGCGACATTATTAGATAAATAGAAAAAATTATTTAAAATTAAAGAGTAAAAATAATTAATTACACATATTTTTAAATAATATACTGTTATTATTTTTTTATTTATTAATAAAACCAATAACTTAAAAAAATTTTTAAATTTTTATAATCTTCAAAAATAAAAACATTATGATATTTCAATCACCCAAATTATAGTAATGATAGGTATCTAATTAGTTTTTTAGTGGTAAAAGAATTCAAGGAATTGATATGAGACGCAAATTTAAATTTAGATGGATGTAATATAAAAATAAAAATACTTCCTATAACCTAAATCTAGTTTTTTTTTCAGACAACTTTCCGAGCGAGCTTCTTTAATGCTTTTAGTAAGAGAATGTGCCAGAATACTACCGGTAAGTCTGCTTGCTTTTTCCGAACAAATTATCGTGTTCGGAATTTTTCAACAATCCGTTTTGTGTGTGAGGGAAATTGACAAGTCAACGTTAAAATAAATCATACATACAGTCGAAAAGATAATATACATACTCTCAAATTTCAAAGCGGAACAACAATTTCAAAAATATGATCATAGGATATTGGCATGGTGGTTTTATGAGATTCGGTCTATTGTGAAACGGGGAAAAAACCGAAAAACAAATTCCGTTGGTGCGCAATGAAAACATCCTTATATTTTGAAAAAGTTTAGGATGGTATGGAAATACGCAACAAGTCTTTCAAATAAACGAATAAACTTTATCCAACTGTGTCTTTGGCATACCACAAATAGCCCAAAAAAACTAAAATGAGTCAAATAATGACGACCTCGGGCGTTCTGTAAATCACGTGACCACGCATATTTTTGTTCTGTTTGTGCAAGATATAATACTAATTATCAGTGGTGTCAATCATGTGATCCCAAATTGTTAGCTCAAAGTTGGACTAGCAGTGGTAATGAAAAATTGGATGAAATAATCAGAAATACACAACTTGAAGCCAAAGGATTTGATAGCTATCATTATCTTGAATGGATTCCTTATGACCAACTCATAGTTGATGAAGGAATAGGTGAAGGTGGTTTTGCAACTGTGTATAAGTGTTACTGGTCAGATGGTCCTAGATATGTTAAAAGGAATAAAAGATACTATTGTATAAATGGTTATGTAGCATTAAAAAAGTTTAAAAGCTCACAAAATGTTTCTGAAGAATTTTTAAAAGAGGTAAATAATTTGATGTAATTAGTTAACAATTAAAGACTTTTAAATAATATATTAATTTTTTATTAAATTTCATAAAGCTTCAAAATCATATTAAATTTATAGGGCCTTATTACAAGGGTGTTGTTAATATTTATGGCATTTCACAAGATCCAAATACAAGAGAATATGTTCTCATAATGAGATATGCAGACAAAGGAGATTTTAAAAAATATTTAAAATCAAATGGCACAAGATGGGATGATAAAATTAAAAGACTTTATGATATTGTCTCAAGTTTAAATACATTTCATCAAGAAAAACTTACACATGGTGATCTTCACAGTGGTAATATTTTATATTTTGGTTATTTACACCAGGCAATGATTACAGATTTAGGGTTATCAGGCCCAACTAATCAAAAAATATCAAGTAAAAATGGTATAGTTGGAGTACTGCCATATATTTCACCAGAGGTATTAAATAAGAAGTCTTACACCCAAAAATCTGACATCTATAGCTTTGGGATCTTAATGTCAGAATTATCAACATGTCAACAACCATTCAAGAATCAACCACATGATCTAGATCTTGCTATCAAGATCTGTAATGGCTTAAGACCTAGTTTTTCAGACAATACTCCTGAATGTTATATTAGGTTAGCATACAAATGTACAGATGCTGATCCTAAAAAAAGACCAACAGCAAATGAAATTTTAAAAATTATTACTTTTTGGAAAGATGCAGTTGCATATGATGATTCTAAGTATTATTTTAAAAAAAATAAATTAAAAGAAATAAGAAAAATATTTAAAGAAGCAGATAAAAAGCCCTTTAACCTTCCAACAATTACTGCAACTGTTCATCCAAATGCTATTTATGCAAGTAGATTATTCAATTTTACAAATCTTCCACAACCTGTAAACTCCAATAAAGTTACAATTATCAGCAACAATATTGGTAATTATCATCAATTATTTAATTTTAAAATTCATTTAATACCAGCATTAATATTATTTCTATTGTGTTATAAATTATCACATTTACAGAACATAAAATTGATTTAGATAATATTAATGGTAATTATTTGATTATTGATTTTAAAATTTAACATCAACACAATTATTACATATATTATAGTAATAATAATGGTAACCACATTATTTTATTATGTTATGAATTATCATATTTATAGATACTAACCAAATGGATTTAGAAATTTAGACCTACAAATAAATTCCACTCATTTGATTATTGGAATTTTACATCAGTTTTTATTATTATGAGTAAACATTATTTTTGTTTTAATGACATGATCAATCACTTTATTTATTTAGATATCAACATGATATATTTTGTCTATCTTATAGTTCAGGCCAATTACAGAGATTTAATTGTAAAAGTTTCAGTCAACCAGTAAAAAAAAATTTTTATTTGTTAAACTGGTTTCATTTAAATCATTTTATTTTCCTATGATAATAGTTTTGGGTGTTGTAACAGTTTATATATTTTATATATTATTTAATTATCATAAACAAATTTCCTTTTTTAAAAATAAAATTTCATTTAGAACTTTAGAACTTAACCTTGTTTTTTTTTTGTGGAGAACTGAATGATGTGTAACAAACAATTTTTTGTACATTTTTTATTATTATTTGATTGCTTTATAAGCTTTTTTTTTCTAACAGGATTAATTGATAAATGATGTAAGTTGGAAAACAAAATCGCATTATTTAAAGAATAACTTCATCATCACCAAGCTTTAATGATTGATTTATTGTGACTCAACAATAAAAGAATTTCAGCATTCTTTGAAGATTTAAAAGTAATAAGATGTACAAAACCTGTGTAAAAGTCATTCTAAGTACCAATATTGATCAACCTATGTTGCTTCAAACTCAGACACTAAATATGGCTCAAGCACATTATTAATATTATTGTGTATTACTATTATGCATAGTTAACTTCAAAGATCAAAAATTTTGAAAAAACATCAATTTAACACAACTCATATGTAAAGACAATTTGATTTTATAAATGTAATTAATATTAAAAGAATAGTTTAAAATATATGGAAAAAAAATAAGTAGTAGTAGTTTAATTAAGTAAAATTTCTCCCATGATAATTATTCTTCTTGCATCATACATATGTAGTGTAAAATAGTAAATTATAAATCATGGGAAACGTATAAATCGGAAATGATTTACAAAAAGTTACACGCAAATAAAATCGGAAAAACTGATCAAGTGATCAAAACAGTTCAATTTATTCAAACACCAATAAAATAATTGACTCACGGAAATATTGGAAATATAAATATTCCAACATTCTAAATGTAACGAATTACAAAGTCTCAGAATAACATTTAAACGAAAGAATTTTACATGACTCATGTTGACTAGAAATTACTTGAAAATAATTCTACATGGAAGGTTTAAACAATGATTAAAGAATACATTAATTAGTATAATTTAGGATTTTAAAGAAATCAGAGAACTAGATGATAGACCTCTAAAATGTATAAATACATTGTAAATTTCTCTTTCATGTAATTATTAGTTTATTAGTTTTTATTAGTTTTTATTAGTAAACTCAAATATTATTATAAATAAACCTTGACCTTGACCTTGACCTTGTCCTTGTTATCTTCGAAAATTACATTTTCGTAATTAATAATTAATTACTATCTTACCAGGGGACACTTTTGATAAGTATAGTTGTATATATTTCTTTAATCTTATTTTCTTTATTTTTATTTTAGATTAGGCCAACGCCTAAATAAGTGAAAACCCTAGCTAGGTGTGGTCAGTAAAGAAACACTGAACCATTAAAACATAACACAACGGTATCAAGGAAGATACTGGGATTATTATCAGAAGGGATAATAATTGACACGTTCTGGCTCAGGCAGAAAACATAGCAACTGCTGAGAAAACATTACCGGACGGGAAGTAAGAAAACTTGCCCTGCAAAGAGTTAAATAGCTTGAGCGCTATACAGAAAAGAAAGTAATCAAAGAATTACACAACTGGATACTGCCATAGGAAGGGATAAATAATATTATAACTAAATCCAAGAGATTTGTGTGAGATGCGGAATTTTGATCTCACAGTAGGAGTTTCATCCATAGTTTAGGAATTTGCCCATAGTAATAGTGCATACAGTTTAGGATTTTGCCCATAATTTAGGCAATTTTTGAGTTTTACCAATTTTACCAGGAAGTTTTCAAGGAGAAATTAGGCCTAAACCAAAATTGCCTAAATGCCTAAACTATGGGTTAGTTTCGGCCACCACCATCATTATTCTGGATGAATATTTATACATACTAATGTTTTTCTTAAGGCTCTGAATGAATCAATGAAATTCAAACCAATTTGAATCGAATGGATCTGAATTCGAATTGATTTGATTTGATTCGAACAGATTCGAATATATAATTTGATACAATTCAAACTGATTCGAATGTATAATTTGGTTTGAACTGATTTGATTTGATTCAAACTGACTGGTTCGAATCTATAATAATAACTGATTTGAATCCATGATTTGAATCAAATACAACAGGAGAGACCATCCTATATAAGGAATGGATTTTCACAATTGATTTCAATTTTTTTTATGCAGTTTAAAATACTTTTACAAGGGTATCATGTAGCCCATTCTTGCAACAAATCATGTGTAAATAATTACACAAACTTGAAGCTTTACACTTTGTTGTTATCATATATTTTGAATCCCTTTGAATCCCACAACTTTCATAATACAATTTACTTGAAGAAAAATTGCCTGAAATTGAACATTACACAGAATATA